ACACCAGTGTTCATCGCAGCACTGTTCACAACAGTCAGATGGTCAAAACACAGACTCTGTTCATGAACAAAGAAACAGCTTGGCAAGAGATGGCATCTACATACATTTAAACATTATTCAGGTCGGTGGAAGGTGGAAGTGGTAAGATATTGCTGAAGAGGAACTGACTGTTAAGGCTGAAAATGGATAGTGGTGACAGTAACAATATAAGGTCAATATAATCAGGTGCACTGAAGTATACATATATAAACAATATATGCTTTATATATATTCTTACCACAATAAAATTATATTTTTAAAACTATTTTGAAGTCTCTAGCTCTCCAAAGTCCTAGGGAACAAAGAATGTTAGTTTAAAGATTAGGGTCCATTTGATCCAAGCCCTGGTCTTTTCAATTACTTGCTATGCATCTGAAAGTTGGACAATGAAAAATGACAGAATGACGTCATTCAGTTGTTGTGCTGGAGAACATTACAGACTATCTCACGGACTGCCAAAACAACAGATGTCCTGGAGAAAGTACAACCAGGGAGCTCGTTGGGGTCGAGGATGATGAAGCTTTGTCCCATATACTTTAGGTTGTTGTTGTTATTATGTGCCATTGAGTCATTTGCGACTCATAGCGACCCTATGTACAACAGCCCTAAACTCTGTTCTGTCCTGTGTCAATCTCACTGTCTCTGACACACTCATCCAGATTACACCAGTCACTGAATCAATCCACCTCCCAGAGGGCCTTCCCCTCCTGTGCCTTCCCTCCACCCTCCCAAGCATGATATTCTTCTCCAAGGACTGGTCCATCCTTACAACATGACCAAAGTATGTCAGATGAAGCCTCAGAATCCTTGCCTCCAAGGAGCAGCCCGGTTTAACCCTCTCTAGGATGAATCTATTTGTTTTCTTGGCAGTTCATGGTACCCTCAACACTGTTCTACAACACCAAAGCTCAAAGGCATCAATTCTCCTTCTATCCTCCTTAGTCATTGTCCAACTCTCTGACACATAACAAGTGATTGTAAAGACCATGGCCTGTATCAGATGCACCTTAGTCTCCAGAGAGACACCATTGCTCTTCAGTACTTTAGAGAGGTCCCTAATAGCAGACTTTCCCATCGCAATATGTCTTTTAATTTCCTGGCTGCTGATGCCAAGAGTGTTGATTGTGGCGCCAAGCAAACTAAAGCTTGAGAGAACAATCTCAATCTCTTCATCATCCATCCTGATGCTGCCAATTGGTCCAGTGATGAGAATCTTTGTCTTCTTGACATTGAGCCTCAACCCATATTGAAGGCTGCAGTCCTTGACCCTCAGCAGCAAGCGCTTCAGGTCTTCCTCAGTTTCAGCAAGCAACGTTGTGTCATCCACGTAACGCAGATTGTTGATAAGATCTTACACCAATCCTGATGCCGCATGTACTTTAGGTAGGTTCTTAGAAAGGGCCAGTCCTCGGAAAAGGACAGGACATCATGCTTGGAAGAGTGAAAGGTCAACAAATGAGAGGAACTGATACAGTGACTGTAACAATGGGCTTAAGTATATCAGAGATGAAGACGGCACAGGATAGAGCAGGGTTCAGACACATTGTTCACAGGTCTGCAGCAGCATGTAACTGACTCAACAGCACCTAACAACAACAGCACACATGGATCATGATACGTCAAAGCAGACTGAACAGTCAGTCACTGGTTAGATGTTGTTAAGTGCCCTTGAGGCAATTACAACTCATAACAACTCTAATAACAATGGCTCTGAAACTTGTCCTATCCTAAGCCAACCTCACCATCGGTGACACCCCTAACCCCACTGCCACAGTCACTCCATTCAATCTATCTCGTCTAGGATCTTCCTCTCCTATGCTGACTCTCCACCCTTCCAAGGATGATGTCCTTCTTCAAGAACTGGTCCCTCCTGGCCAACACACCCAAAGTAAGTGAGATAGAGATTTAAAATCCATGCCTGCAAAGAGCAACCTGGTTTCACCATCTTCAGGACACACATGTTAGTTCTCTTGGAAGTCCGTGTTATGTTCAATATTCTTCTCCAGCTGCACAACTCAAAGACATTGATTCTTCTGACATCCTTAGTCACTGTCCGGCTCTCAGAAGCACATTAAGCAATTGAGTAGATCATAGCCTGAATCAGGTACACCTTAGTCCCTAGAGTGACATCATTGCTTTTGAGCACTTTGGAGCAATCCTTGATGGCAGACTTTCCCAACGCAACTTGTCTTTTCATTTCCTAACTGCTGGTGCCAAAGATGTTGATTGTGGAGCTAAGCAAGACCAAATCATTAACAATTTCAATCTTTTCTCCATCTGTCATGATGCTGCCTACTGGCCTGGTGGTGAGGATTTTTGTTTTCTTGATGTTGAGATGAAATCCATACTGAAGGCTATAGTCATCGACATTCTGCAGCAAACGCTTCAAATTCTCCTCAGTTTCGGCAAGTAAGGTTGTGTCATTTGCATAATGCAGGCTGCTAATGAGTCTCTCTTCAATCCGGATGCCACATTCTTCTTCATAAAGTCCAACCTCCTGAATGTTCTCTTCAGCATATAGATTGAAAGGTATGGAAAAAGGATACATCCCAACACACTCCTTTCTTAATTTTGAACCATTCAGTGTTCCTTTGTTCTGCTTGGATAACAGCTTCCAGGTCTAAGTCTTGGTCTAGGTTTCGCATGAGCATGATCAAGTGTTCTGGGGCTCCCCTTCTTCTCAATGTGTTAGTTAGCCACAATTTGCTGCGACTCACACAGCTGAATGCCTTTGTACAGTCCATGAAACGCAAATAAGACATCCTTCTCGTACTCTCTGCTTTCAGCCAAGATCCATCTGACATTACCAATGATATCCCTGGTGCTATGGTCTCTTCTAAATCCAGCTGTATTTCTGGCAGTTCTCTGTTCTGGTCATTTCTGGTTTGAACAGTAGAGTAAAAATGAAGGGCAATAGATTAATAGTGGATCAAAAGGAACATGAAAGCTAAAAGGAAAAGAAATCGCTATTATAGGAGAAACAAGTTTTTTATGAAAACATTACACGTATTTAAGAATGGCTTACTCTGTAAGGAGTTGTCTGGTTAACTCAGAGGCTATGTCCCTCTTCTGGCTCAAATCCAACAGCAACTCTGAGAGAGAAAGATGAGTAATCTCCTCCTAAACCTGCCAGGAGGTCAACTAGTTGTTGGCTCACACTCAATAGCAATGAGTTTGGGTTTATTTAAGTATGAAATTAAAATAGGTCTCTTCCTCATTAAAATATTCTATAAACTCTTCAACCTATTTGATGGAGAGTATTTCTTTCTAGTTCATATTAAAGGGGTAAAAAAAGCATTCTCCAGAAGACTTTTCAGTTCTCCTTCCAAAGAAAACTTCACATAATATCTGAAGATGTCTGGTGAGGTTTTTCAATTATCCTAAGTAGCGCTGAAAGAAATTACCTTCACAAAGCAGTAAAACTGAACCATGAGTGGTAAAATTTTTGAATAAAAATTGAGATTTTTATCAGTCATATTAAGTTTCCACCTACTCCATTTAGTCATTCAAACTGTAATCTTAAACACATTAAGTACCTACGATGACATTTTGTAATTATTATATCTTCTCATAAGAGCAGTAAACTGTCATATGACAAAGAGGAAAGGCAGTATCTATGGCTAACAATAGACCAGTTTTTAGAAAGTGAACAAGCATGAAACGGAAAAGAAAAAGAGGAAAGTGTTACCGGTAAATTGTTTCCTTACCTTTCTAAAACAGCCTTTAAAGCCTGTGATAAAGCAGCTTAAAGCAGAGATCGATGAGACAAAGTCATTTTTCCCTCATGCTTTCTGGCTTTGATATCTGAGACTATATAAGCATCATACAATGAGTTGGAGAGAAGAATTCCTCTCTTCCCATTCTTTAAAAGAATTTGTGGAAGATTAGAATTACGTGTGCGTCCGAAATCTGGCAGACCTTGTTCTCAAACTGCTCTGGGAATATTTTCAATTTACAGACTTGATTTCTGTAAGCTACAGGACTATCGTCACTAAGATGTGCTGTTATAATGGCAGTCGGACAATTCGCTTCAGCAAATAAAAATTTCTTTTCTCACCAGGTAGGAGACTGAAGGTCAAATTCAAGGCACTAACTTTAAGGGATGGCTTTCTCTCTGGGATGGTCCTGGAGGGAAGGTCCCCTCTTTCAGCTGTTTCCTAAATTCTAGGAGATCTCCATGTTACCTGGCATCTATCATCCATCTCTGCTTCTCGACTTGCTACTCTCATCTCTTATTTGGCAACCACATCATACACTAATCTTGCCTCACTAACGGAACAAAGACAGTCTACCATCAAATGGGATTATAGCCACAGCACTTCACAAAGTCTTTGGCAAATAACACCCATGACTCTGGTATAGTCCCTAGGGAGCTTCACTCTGAAGACACACTGGAGGTTCAGCTATAAGCCAGTTTGGACTCAACAACAATGACTTATTGCTTCTCAGATAATACCAATTAATGGTGAGCATTCACTGATTCACAAAGCTGTTAAGTCTTTCACAGGAGGAAACTGTCTCCTTTCTCTGAAGGAGTAGCTGGCAGGTTCAATTCACTATGGTTTTGATTATCAGCAGTTCAAAACGTAAAAAAAATGCACTATGGCACCAGACCTACATATATGTTAAGGATTTTTTTGTTGTTGTTGTTATATTGTTTTGTTTTTTTAAAGTAAATTATTGTCAAAATGCTTCTGTTAAAGGTTGAACTCATTCACATTCTTAAAAGCAGGATAAATAAAAGTGCTTGGTTCCCTAACTCCTCGCCGATTCCTCAAGTTCTGCCTTTTGTAATTCTTCCTCTGTGAAAGACCTGCTCATGTTCTGTGACAGTTCCCTTGGTTTTTAACACTCTTGCGGATTTCTGTACTTAGGATATCAATCTTGTGTTACATAAGTAATATTTTTTTCCCTTAAACAAAAATGGGGGTGTAGTGTGTGGAAATTAACCCAAGACTTACCGCCAGTTCCAAGGACTTTCAGAAGCTCAAAATTTTCAATTCCCACTTTCTCTGCATATCCTGTTAAATTAGCTAAAAAAGAAAGAGAAAAAAAAAGGAAATAACTAAGGGACCAGCAGTCAAAAGGGACACAGGGCCTTTCTGAGGTATCAGTCAGGTTCTACAACTTTACTTGGTACATTTGATAATGGCTTATGAAAATGATGCAGCTGTTTTATGCAAATATCTACATATGTTACAATAAAATTTAAAATTAATTTAGCGACTATATTAGGTTATGCAACAATATGAGATGACGTGCATATTAAAAAGTGTTAGTAGACTCTGTACTAGTCAAAACATTCCGAAAATAAAAGTTCTAATATGTAGCTAAGCTGCAGAAAGGACACTGGACAGGTTAACTCAATAGATATTTATTGAATGAGCACTAAGTGGCACCCTCCACTCCCAGGTTGCATTTGAATCTCATTTCTGGCACCAAGTCCTGAAACACTCTTTATACTATGTTATGTCATAAGCCTTCTTGGGAGAAGGCTGGGCAATCTCCTCCCATTCCATGAAGTACCTCTAAACAACCCTCAGAGGGTCAGCTATGGGTCGGTTCCAATTCAACAGGGTAACAACAACATGTGCCTTCGAGTTAGATCAGACTCCCAGCTCACCCTCCAGCAGCTTTTTAGCAGCAGTTAAACTGCACACGAGGAGACTGTTCATCTTTCTCACATGCAACTGTTAGTAGATTCGAACCATGTGCATGTGGATTGGAGGGGTAGTTTCTTACCACTAGGTACCAGCACTCAAGAAATAAAAAACAGTTTTGAATTTAGAAAGTTTGGTCTCAAGGACTTCTCCAAAGTACTAAAGAACAATGATGTCAGTTTAAAGAGAGAATGTGCCTGATTCAAGTCATGGTCTTTTTAAAATCATTGTCTGTGTGTCTTAAAGTTGAACAATGAATATGTCTTTCCGTTGTGGTCCTAGAGAAGAATACTGAATACAGCTTAAACAAGTTTCTTCACAAATGAACCTCATAGCTCCTGCTCTATAAAAACAAGTATGGTGAACCTCAAAGACAGAAACCCACTATCAAATTCATTTATCCACAAAATTATTAACAGTGAAACAGCATTCTGAGAAAGAAGTTTAAAAATCTCTTGCCCTCTGGGATGCAGCTAAGGCAGTTCTGAAGGTGAGTTCATAACAGTAGGCACACACATTAAATAGGAAGAAAGAAGAAAAATCACTGAACTAACTCAAACCTTCATCAAATAGAAAAAGAACAACAATCTAACCCTATAGCCTCTAGAAGAAAAGAAAGTATAAGGACAAGAGCTGAAATAAATGAGGTAGAAAACGGAAAAACAACAGAAACCATCAATAAGACCAGGAGCTGGTTTTTCAATAAAATTGACAAACCACTACCAAACTTGACTAAAAAAAAAAGAGAAGACACAGATTACTCAATGAAGACATTATAGAGGTGACATCACAACAGACCAAGATTAAATTAAATCTATATCCGAATACTTTAAAAAGCTATACTCGGATAAATTAAAAAACCTAGAGGACATAGACAAATTCCTTGAAACTCATGTCCTACCCAGACTGACAAGGAGAGATATATAATACTTGAACAGACCCATCACAAAAGAAGAAATAGAACAGGTCATAAGAAGACTTGCCCATAAGGAAAGTCCTGGACTAGAGGACTTCACAGCTGAATTCTACCAAACATTCAGACAGGATCTATTCTACTTCAATTATTTAAAAAAACTGAAAAAGAAGGAACATTTCCAGAGTCAATCTATGAAGCAAGTATAACCCTAATACCAAACCAGGAAAAGATATTATCAAGATAGAAAAGTACAGATCAATATTTCTCATGAATATAGAAGCAAAAAATCCTTAACAAAATCCTAGACAACAGATCCAAAATCATAAAGAAAAAAATAACTTATCATGAGTAAGTGGAATGCCTAACAGGTACACAAGGATGGTTCAACATAAAAACAATCACCATAATTCACTGTATTAACAAAGCAAATAACAAGAACCATATGATCTTAGCAAATGATACAGAAAAGGCATTTTTTACAAAATCCAACACCCCTTTCTGATAACACACTCAACAAAACTGGAATTTGTCAACATAATGAAAAGTACATGTGCAAATCCAAGAGCCAATATTATTCTCAATGGAGAAAACCTAAAAGCATTTTCCTTGCAAAAAGGGACCAGACAAGGATGCCCACTGTTACCACTTCTGTTCAATATTGTACTAGAAGTATTTGCTTGGGCAACACAAGAGAAGGGAATAAAAGGCATCCAGATCAGCCAACAGATGGTTAAACTGTCACTATATGCAGATGATATGGTAGTGTACTCAGAAAACACCAAGGGACTGGACAAAAATACTGTTAGAGCTAGTAGACCAATTTGGTAGAGTGGCAGGATATAAAATCAACATCTAAAAATGAGTGGGATTCCTCTACAATAACAAAGAGAACGCAATAAAGGAATCCAAGAAAGCCGTATCATTTACAACAGCCAACCTCAAGCCTAGATACTTAGGAGTGAACCTAACTAGAGACACAAAAGACCTATACAAAGACAACTACAGAACATTTCTGCAAGATACAATAAAAAAGATTAAGTGGAAAAATGTGCCCTGTTCATGGATAGAAAATGGCAATTCTACCAAAAGCAACTGACATGTTATTTGGAGAAGAAAGAGACCCAGAATAAGCACTTTTGAAAAACAAAAATAAAGTCAGAGGCATAACACTGCCAGACCTCAAAACCTACTACACAGCAGTAGTAACCAAAACAGCATGGTACTGGTACTTAACAGGCAGACAGACCAATGGAACAGAACTGAGAAGCCAAAAATGGACCCAGATATCTATGGTCAATAATATTTGACAAGGAAATAAAACCTATCAAATGGGGAAATTACCACCTCTTCAACAAATGGTGTTGGCAAAGCTGGACTGCTGCCTGTGGAACCCTGAGACAGGACCCATATTTCACACCATACATAAAATTCAACTCAAGGTGGATCAGATACCTGGGAGGAAAGCCCAAAATTATGAAGTTCTTCAGAGACAAACTGGGATCAAGCTTAGATGGCCTAGTCTATGGTATAAACAAACGGGCAAATAGAGCTAGAAATGCTCAATCTGGAGAAGACTAAATTAATTAATGAGATCTAAAGATATAAATCCCTGTGTGCATCACAAACGCTTTGTAACAGTGAAAATAAAACCTACTGACTAGAAAAGCATTTGGCAATGCCATTTGAGACAAGGGTCTCATATCAAAAGTTTACAGAATCCTACAGGGCCTTCACAAGAAAAAGACTGACAATCCAGTTACAAAATGGGCAAAAGACATGGAAAGACTTTCACTGAGGAAGATACTTGGATGGCGAACAGACACATGATGAAATGCTCAAAAATCACTAACAGTAAGAGAAATGCTTATCAAAACCACAATGAGATACCATCTCACTCTAGTAGCAGTGGCAAAATGTAACATGACAGCAAGTAATAAATGTTGGCGAGGATGTGGTGAGATAGGAACTCTTATACACTGTTGGCGGAATTGTAAAATGGTACAAACACTCTGGAAGGCAGTTTGGCGTTTCCTCAAAAAGTTGAACATAGAAATTCCGTATGACCCAGCTATTCATACACTGCTTGGAATATACTTCAAGAAAAGGAGAACTGAGGGACAAATGGAGACTTGTACATCAATGTTCATAGCAGTGTTACACACCATTGCAAGAACATGGAAGCAGCCCAGAAGTCCAATCGCAATCAAATGGATTGGACATTTACGGTACCTTCACTCGTAACACACAGGAGCAGTGATTTTGTAAATTACTACAGGACTGGAGAGCATTATGTTAAGTGAATTAGCTCAGTCCAATCAGGACTGATATTATCTAAGACCATCATTGTAGAATGAGTACAAGGATCCAAGGCAGAGGGAAAGTGGGGGCAGAATACTGATGACGGCTGGGGACGGGATGCACAGTTGGATGGGTGGAGGGAGAGCTGGGTAAAACAAATGGGAAAGATTTGATGTGAAAAACAATGTATACGAAATTTTTAAATAAACCAGCATTTAAAAAAAAACACAACAAACCACAAAGAGCACTAAATGTAAATGTAGAGCCCAGCCAGCCAGTACGACTTAAAATTATTTCTAATTTTTTTAGAAAACTCCATGATCAAATTACAGAAAATAAAATACCTATCTAATGAAGCTGTGATGAATATTTGAGTTAAATGCATATAGTAATTACATGGTTTGTAAACAAATAATACTTTGGGACTACAGCTTAACGAAACTCAGATTGTATAAAAACTTGTGGAAATAAAGCTTCTAGAACTAATTTCAGTGTCTTTCCAAAGTTTAAGAACTTTTCCACAATTTTATACACGGAACCAATAAATGCAAATGACTCATACACTTTATATGAAGACAGATCTGAAAGAACTGTTAAAAACAGAGGCATTGTTTTCAAGTAAACACAAAAGCATATCTTCCTCCAGCATACTCAGCAAAGCTGCTTAAAAATCAAGCCCTAGGAGGCAACTACTTTTGAAACAATTTGTTTCTCTTCCAGTTAAATTTTATTATTTAATTACAAAAAAGTTCAAGATAGTATCAAGGAGTCATATATTGAAAATGTTAAAAATTATTAATTTCATTATTAAGTTGTTGTTGTTGTTATTGTTGTTGGGTGCCATCAAGTTGAGCACGACTCACAGCGAACCTATGAACAAAAGATATGAACCTAGTCCTATCCTGCGCCATCCTCACACTTCCCGACACACAAGAGCCCATTGCAGCAGTCACCATGTCAATCCACCTAGTTGAGGGTCTTTCTCTCTTTCTCGGACCTTCCATCCTTACCAACATTATGTCCTTCTCCAAGGAATCGCACCTCCTAGCACCATGCCCAAAGTGTGTGAGGCAAAAAGATAAGTTTATTTACTAAAAACATTACTTTTAAACTTTTCATTCTAGAATTTTTCATAAGGTCTGAGTTGCAGCTGCTGTCA